AGCAGGAAGCTAGCGAAGTCGTAGTATATATCGTCAAATAGAACTGCCCGATAAATATATATATATATATATATATATATATATATATATATATATATATATATATAATCAAGAGTCGCTTGGTTATCCTTAATTCAACCAAAAACTAAAGGAGGTCTAGGAATTTTGGACCCTTCCTTGCAATATAAAGCTTTGTCGCTACAACGACTTAAAAAACTAATATTGTCTACAGACAAGCCTTGGCAAGATCTGGCACCGGAACAGATTCGTAGGCTTGCGCCTTCTTCAAAGGAGGATATACACCCACTCACCTGGGTAGACGACCGGTATTGGAGTATTCCCAAGGCACAGGCACAGTTCAGAGGAGAAGAAGATAGGGGTGCAACTAGAAGAGATCTTATAATTAATGACTTGTGAGTCTCGCTACTCAAAACTTTGAGCCAATTATCCCTACCCAATAAACCTTTTCCCTCCCGATATGAGGAAATATTGCGACAACCTATTTTTGGCAATCGATGGATCACAGACATAAATAGTCGAATTTTCAATAGCTCAGTCTCACCTTGGACAGTGTGGGTAAAGAAAGGGGTGTTGAGGATTAAAGATTTATGGGACCCGGGGACGAAAGACTGGAAATTGGTGGAACAACTTAGACAAAATTTGAGATATGCGCATCAACTAGTTGCTAATCTGGAACAAATTATCTTTTCTATATATTTGGATTGGGTCAAAACATTGAAAAAAAAATCTGAGATTAAGGAAGCGGATTGGTTGTTGGATTTCGACCAGATGATCAACATGTGATTGGGAAGGTGGTTCACATTTTTCCTAGTGAAGCCTTTGTGAATATCTTCAAATCCACAAGGGATCACCTCGTGGTGCAATCCCCTTCCAATACAGTCAAAATTTTTCCCTTCACAAAACTTTACCGAATTAGAGTGCTTTATATCTCATCAATTAAGGGTTGGAAAACCTACCATCCTCAGATGCTTATCCCCAAACTTCCCTTTGACCCAACAAAATGGATATAGCAGACTTCCAAGAAAGGGAAACCAAGTGTCTTACAATCTTTATCTGTTAAAATAACCTATAGATTACTTCGGACCAAGGTTTACATTTCAGCAATACTTCAAAAAAGGTGGGCTGGGCATCTAAATATTGATATAAACTTGATGAGGAACATAAAGCTTTTCAAGGATATTAGATAAAGACCAGCCAATTTACCGTTCCTACAATGGCAGATAAACCACCGCTGTCTGCCAACGAATGATTGGCTCATAGATCATTCCTCACTTTAGAAGAAAAGCTTAGCAACACATTGGTGTAGTTCTTGTTTAACAGTATTCCCGAATAGGAAAATTAGAGAAACTATAGAACATATCTTTATGCAATGTCCAGACTCAGTTCTTCTCTGGAGAAGATGGGATTGTATATGGAGAGGATTAACAAAGATAGATTGGCCTTGGGACTGGAAAGCAATTCTACTAGGACACTGGACTCCCCAAAACATCACACTTTCTAATTTTCAAGACAACCTCTTCAAAATTGGCTGCAAGGCAGTATTATTGACCTTATGGTATAAAAGATGTGTCCTGGCTAGAGAAGGGGTGTGTATGGAAGGAGCAGAGATATCTGAATCGTCTGCTCCCAAAGCTAAATTAATTCATCTTAAGCAAAAAAATGATATTGAAAAAACAATTCATATATTCACAATGGATTGGCTGGGAGGGTCTGCAGGGAGGAGCCTAGGGGAAGTTACATGGCCAAGGAAAGAAGGGTTGGAAGACCCTTTTAAACCACCAGTACTTGGCCCAGCTATCGAAGCCGAGCCTCCCAGCCCCCTGTGCGCCAAGTCCTGGCCAACTGGCGTCGACCTTTTTTGTTTTCATTTTGGATGTGGCCTCTAGCCAATGCGGTCCGGTAGGCCGAAGCCCGAATGCCGCAGCGCGTTAACGGGGAACCGCCGCGGCCGATAGCTGGGCCAAGTACTGGTGGTTTAAGAGGGATTATCAACTCAACTTTCAGGAATGGTTCAAGCTTCCTCCAGGAGCCACCCTCAGATCTTCAGAATTGTTTTCAGACCCTTTTCCCCCTTCTGAACTAGCTCTTGTAGATCTTCATTGGTTTGGAATTGGGGGGAGTGAATGAGTTTTAGATAGGAAGGGTTGCTGGTTTTGTTCGTTATATCTGGCAGTCCTAAGGGGGCTGAGGCAATCATACCTTTCATTCCAAAAAAAAAAAAAAAAAAAAAAAAAAAGACGATGAATTTCATGCCTAATGGGCTTACAGCCACAAACTACAAAGAGGCCGAGGGACGTAGGATATATATATTGTCACAGAACTATTGACTAAGAGTGTAAGCACGTGAAGTAGAAGAAGAAATAAGATGAGCGAAGAAAAGAAAAATGAAAGGACAGACAGGCAAAGAGACAGACAAACCAGAATGACACAAAACAATGTCCTCTCATTCTTTGTTTCACAGTATTATTATTTCTTTCAGTGTTTTACAATTTTTTTTTTTCACTGAATCAAAGGATAAAAATAAAAAACAAAGACACATTAAAATCATTCAGTTTCTCAGTCTTCTTAACGCCTCCTCCACTATGCCTCTAACGTACAAGACTCTCTCTCTCTCTCTCTCTCTCTCTCTCTCTCTCTCTCTCTCTATATATATATAGAGAGAGAGAGAGAGAGAGAGAGAGAGAGAGAGAGAGAGTAGAAGGGGGGGGGGACCCCGGTGAAGAGGGGGATGCAAGGAATGAAATAAAGACGACCTTGCTGTTGCCTTGGAGTAGTTGAGCTCGCAGACCTCCGTCACATCTGAACCATTCTCCACAACCCAGTCATGCCCACAGATGCCCGCATCAAGTACCCCATCTTCCACATACCGACTGCAATGCCACAAGAAAAGATAAAAGGCATTTCAAGTTTTAGCAAGAAGGCTCAGAGGTGTAAATAAGTTGCAGGAGAAAACGGTCCGAAATGCACAAGAAAAGATAAAGGCATTTTCTAATATGATTTTATTGTCTCTCTTTTCAAATGATTTAATTATGGCTTCTATTTTTAGATTAAAGTAAAAAAAAAACTTAAAAGCCACAGCTTCCCCACAAGTAACGACAAATGCCACTTAATGCACCAGTACCTTTCCCAGCCATTTTGCCGAGACGTGCTGGGTAATGTGGGGACCAAGCGGGGCGGCCCCGCTGTTGATCAATCGAATCGGCGACCTGTTTTTTTCCTTTCGGGCCTCCAAGAGTGCCCGCGGCCGACATATGGGAAGGGTACTGGTGGTTTAACAGCTTTGTATTTACTATTTATTACTGAATGAAATTTTGTGTTCCAGAAAGGAGATATGCATGGGGCCGCATTATCTCCTGGCTGAGGCAGACTAGGTCAGAGTGTTAGTTTTGAGGTACACCTTTTGGGGGAACTGGTTACCTCAAGGTAGAAGGGAATGGGGAGGTTCTCTCTCTCGTTGGGGCTGATAGGAACTTCATGCTGATAGCGGGGTTGGGCTCAGCGGAGGCAGCGAGAGGAGAAGAGGAAACAAGGKGAGAGGAGGAGAATACATGGAAGAAGGGGAGGGTGGAGAGAAATAATCATCAGCGTTGTCATCATTATCCATCATCTTTGTGATCATCTCAGGGTACTCATCAAATTTCATTATCAGAAAGTTTTGCTGATCAGAATTCTGATATTATCAGATCCTTGATTTCTGGTTGGCATTCTGGATTAGCTAATTTCCTAATTGAGTCTTCTTGTGTAATGGCCAGGTTGAGTTGGCGCCAGAACGACGCTAGCCGGCGCTGGGGCAGTGCCCTGTAACCTGCTTGTGTAGGAGTTTGAGGCTTTGTATAGAGGTCTGGAATTGCCGAGGGAGGAAGGCAATCTGCAAACTTGACTAATGGCTACAATCTGGCCGACGATGGTCGGAGCTGGGGTGGGTAGCGCTGCCCTGTAACCGAGCCAGGTTGGGGTGTGAGACCGGGAAGAGGCCTAATTGGTGCACAGCACGGGCTCCATTGTGATTGGTTGTCTGGAATGGATACAGGAAATTAGGGATAGATAGTAATTCAGTGCTGGGAAGACAATCTTTCTGATTAGTCATCATCTAGCTCTATTTCATGACCTCAGTCACCCACTCTGACATCCTAAATCATCCAAAATGATCCTCAATCATCCCAAATTTTCATCAATTGTCAATCATCCAAAATGATCCTCAATCATCCCAAATTTCCCATTATAAGGGACGCTGGGCCCGGTTCCCAGCACATGATGCTCCCCACAAATAGATTGGAGCAATATAATCCAATATAAAAAAAAAAAAAAAAAAAAGAGGGAAAAAGCCTCACTTAGCAGATGCAAAAGCTGGAAATATCTGTGAGGTTTCAGGCCTCTGCGAGCCTCAAGAGGGGCTGCCCACAGAAAATAGGCCCAGGCCTAAGTTACCGTCACYTT